GGATTATTAATGAGTTTTTAATGTTAAATGAAATGTTCTGTTCATAGTTCTTGTATTTCCTCCTGACCGTATCTGGCGCTGGGCTGGGAAACCTTGTCCCAACAGAAGAAAGAGAGGCGGACGGAAAGTGTTCTATAAATCTATATACAGAGGAGATGAACATATCTCGGTGAGTGTGGTTAAACTTATTATTCACTCCAATGTTATCTTTTGCATCTGAAGTTATTTGGTTCAATGTTCCAATGAAGAACATTTTGACGTCATAAGAAAAGTATTTTGAAGTTTTTTCTGAATCATTTTCTGTTGTTTAAGAAGGAAAAAATGTGAATAAATAAACTGCCCTATTTCTGGTGGACTATTTAGCGTGACCTCTAGGGAGATCATTTTATACTCGTACAGCTATCCCAGCATACTTATAACTAGTCTAGTGGCCAGGCATATATTTTTCAAGCTTGCCCGGTGTGGATATACACTCAGAGTTACATCGCAAACATCATATTCACCTGAGTACATTACACCAACACAGAAAAATCATGATTACTAGATTACATTGATATCGAAGGAACTAGTCTCAGTTCCGAAATATCGCATACTCGAACCGACTGACCACGTAGCTCAGTTGGCAGAGCATTGGGCTAGTATTCCAACGGTCGTAGGTTCGATTCCCGCCGTGGCCAGGCATATTTTTCAGGCCTGCCCGGTGTGGGTATACACTAAGAGTAACATCACAAACATATTCACCTGAGTACATTACACCAACACAGAAAAAATTCTAGTTTAGTTTTCAATACGAATCTTACAATCGATTTTTCTTTTCTCAGGTCGGGGAGTGTGCAGTATTTTTATCAAGTCCATCCAAGAACCCTAATCTACCGTACGTTGGTAAAATTATTAAAATGTGGGAGAGATTCAATGGAAGTAAAGTTGTCCGAGTCAAGTGGTTTTATCATCCCGAGGAGACGAAGGCGGGACGACGACCTTCCGATGGCAAGGTAAGCTAAGTTTACTTATTTTTAGAAGTTCATGTGGTTTTTTTCACCGTTTATTATGCCTTAATTCAAGGTCGTCATGTTCCAAAATTATATAAACCAGGGGGGTAGCCAGCCCCAAGCGAGTGGGGGATCGAATCGTCTGGTCGTCCAGGGGCAATTTCAAATCCATTTTCGCAGTTTAAAAAAAACTGAATTACAATTGGATTTACATCAAATATGGTTAATAATTTATATGTTAAGACTATACTGAAACTATTTACAATTTGGATTGGGATGCGTAATTGAAAATATAAGAGGTTTTTAATCTCTTCGTATTTATAATTGGAAGTTTATATTTTCTCAACTCTCTAAAATTATGAGTTGGTAGATTTTATCCAGGTAATAGATGGTAAAGTTTATGTTCTCTAATAAATTATTTGTTTTATGTTCTCTGTTATCTTCGATGGAAGTAAAAAGTTTTTGACATAATTTCGCTGACCTTGTCTTTTCCTTTCCCAAATTCGAGTGCTATAACATCTTTTTTTCCACACAGAATGGTCTATACCTTTCATCTCATGTCGACGAAAACGATGTCCAGACAATCGCACACAAATGCGAAGTCGTACAACTTCACGACTCGAAGAACCATCGGAATACAAAATCGTCGACCGATTCCGATAGTGACGTCACGAACAATAATATATTCTGGTGCCTTGGCACCTACGACCCGCTCACAGAGACGTTCCCTTCCGATAACGACTAGGGGTGGCAGGAAAATATATAGTGGTGAGAGGTAGAAAAAGTCGTCGCTCGCATGTGGTGCAGTGCTGCCTTGGCGCTGATGCACATGCGTAAAACCAATATGCGCCAGGCCGCTCATATAAGATGTGACAACATTCGTAAAGGCAGGAAGACTCTTGGACCGATGGATACAAGTGACATATGACATTGCAATATAGACGAAACTATAAAATGAATTGCAAGCAAAAGTCCTGTTCACGTCGTGTTCAACCAGAAAAAAGTGATATATCACATTGGAATATAGCGAAAATAGAGTATGGTATAGCATGTATGTAAGAAGGCATATAGCAGTGTCGAAGTTGTGATTCTTTCAAACCTGACCTGTGATTTGAACCGTATAATTGAGTGCATCACAGAAAATCCACAAAGTGGACAATCGTTCATATTTTTGCATTTCGCTTGATATTTGTAACACCAGAGGGATTTATACTGATTCCTGTCGTAAGTTCTCTACCCTTAAAGAAGACGCACAAAAATGTCTTTCTTTGGTGTTGCAGATGTGAAACGGAATGTTCGTGTTCTAAAATATGTATAAAGCAGTTTAGTGTAGATAGCTATGTAGCAAAGTTATTTTATGTATATAAAATACACAAAAATGATTCTCGACACTCAGCAAAATAAAAAATATTTTTATACGAAGTCGCAACATTTTGTAGCTGACCTTTTTATACCAGAGGGCATTTCCCAAAGGTGGGAAACCAGAAAATATTGTTTCCTATACTAGAATTGTTTTCTAAAGATGGTCAAACCAGGAAACATTGTTTCCTAGCCATGTTTCCCCGAAGGTGTGCAAACCAAGTAATATTGTGTTTCCTAGCCATATTTTCTAAATATGGACAAACCAGGAAACATTGTTTCCTAGCCATGTTTTCTATAGGTGAGCAAAAAAGGAACCGGTTGTTTCCAAGCCATGTTTTTTTCCAAAGGTGAACAAACCAGGAAACATTGTTTCCTAGCCATGTTTTCCAAAGGTGGACAAACCAGGAAACATTGTTTCCTAGCCATGTTTTCCAAAGGTGAACAAACCAGGAAACATTGTTGCCTAGCCATGTTTTTCAAAGGTGGACAAACCAGGAAACATTGTTTCCTAGCCATGTTTTCCAAAGGTGAACAAACCAGGAAACATTGGTTCCTAGCCATGTTTTCCAAAGGTGGACAAACCAGGAAACATTGTTGCCTAGCCATGTTTTCCAAAGGTGAACAAACCAGGAAACATTGTTTCCTAGCCATGTTTTCCAAAGGTGAACAAACCAGGAAACATTGTTGCCTAGCCATGTTTTCCAAAGGTGAACAAACCAGGAAACATTGTTTTCAGGGTTGGACAAAAAGGGGAAACATTTCGCCCTTATCTGGGGGGGGGGGCATATTTGCGCCGCGCAGTACGTCCCCTCCTGTAAAATATTCATGTGGAGTATGGAAATTAGTCTCATCCTCACCTGGATTGACCTCGTTCCCATGCTCCATGCCGTGACATTGAAGTATAGAAGAGAACAAAAGTTTTAAAAAGTTGAACTTCTTTTCACATTAATAAAGTCGAATAAAAACGAAAACTCGGACAGAAGTACGAAAGTTATTATAAACAGACAAGAAGGCAAAGGAAAGACCAGGGATTAAAAAAAGACATTGAATTTAATACGGAAACGTAAGTAAATTTTGCTTGAAATCGAATTAGTTTGTTCAGTTTTATAGTTAGACTAGTTAATAGTTTATACATTTATATACACAGAAGCTTGCAAATTGGGGAGACCAAAGCACATAGACAAAACTAAAAAAATGGTCAGTTTTATAACTTTATACCAATCAACAGTTTGTATTGCACATAAAGTTTGTATCGAATGTGGTGCACAATTTCCAAAGGAATCAACTGCCAATTTGAAAAATCTTGAAAACTTGCTGTCTGCTGGATATAGACCCATTGCACTGACGTCACAAATCCTTAGAGTGTCCTCCAGATGCTCCCTAACAATATCTGTTCAGGTACAACAACCACATACAGTACAAAAATTAACCATTTTAATACAAAATTATTATAAACTTTTACAAAATTTACTTTTTTTGTATAAAATGGGACGAAGCAACCATTTTGGGGATTGATAGTCATAAGTTCTCTTGCAAAATGAGAGAGTCAATTGAAATCGAGAAGCACAATACTGTAGATCAGGAGGGAAAGCCACTAGATTGTACGTGGCGTGCTCTCTTCAATGTGCAAAATTAAGATGCGTGCGTGTTAATTGGGATCACTTCACTACGTTTGAAATGACGTGGTTGATGTGCCGTTTTAATTAATTAAATTTCAAATGATGTGAGCCAACAGGTCACGACACATTTGTTTATAAAAAGGGCGTGTGAATTAAACAAGTCGCATATTAGCACTGATGAAGATCTGGGCTTACGGATCGAAAGCTTTGCAGTAATAAATTTAAGTGGTGTTTCCACAAACAAAACTATTATATGTTTTATCGCCATACAAACATACAAAGAACTTAAAATTTGCTTTGTTTACAAAAGTTATATGCATAGATTGCTCATTGGGTCATTCCAGAAAAGATCCATATCCCCCCCACAGAGGAAATCGAAAATACCCCCCTTCCCCCTTCAGACATCCTTGAATGGTTCATCCTCCCCCCCCCCTCTCCGGATGTCAAAGCCCAAAATTACCCCCCTCCCCTTCAGACATCATATTTCTAAATTTCCCTAAAGGCTACCTCGCTGTTTTGAAAACGGCACCGAAAATTAGACTACGTTCACGCTGCGCACGGAGTGAACTAATTCGGGCAGAATTATAGCAAAAATTTCCTCGGGGGGGGGGTATGGATCTTTTCTGGAACGACCCATTTGTCCTCCAGATGCATCATCACTGGCGCTGTGACGTTCAGTCCAATAGAAAAAACTTGTTTAGTATCAATTTCTGCCATCTTGGTTTCACTGAAGTTATATAGAGATATATAGATATATAGAGCTCACAGGGGTGCATTGCCACTTAAAGGATTAATGAAATTGGCGATTGACCGATAATCGGCATCGGCATTTGGCTCATTTTTGCCTTATCAGTAGACCATCGGAATCGGTAGAACTAGAATTATCTATATTTCCGATTTTCTAAAACCGATTGTTGAGAAAATACACATTTTAAAAATGATATGCAATGCACGTTGATACATGTTGCATTTTAACGCAATATGTTAAATTAATGTGTGAAGCTTGATTGCCACGATTTATTAATGTAATGGTTTTAATGATCTTTGGTTGCAGTAACATACCGAGGGATGGATCCAGCCCGCCCATCAACTTGCTTCACTACTGCAAGTCTTGCTTGACTACAGTATTTGAATTGTAATTGTTGTTCACAGTTTGCTTATCATCATGTTATTACTCAAATTACCGTATCTCATTTTGTCTCTAATAATTTTTTGATTTATCATGAAAAATAGCACCCCCCCCCCTGCACCCCCTCTGGCCAGGGCTAGGGGGTGTGCACCCCCCAGTAAATCCATCCCTGGTAACATGTTAAGTTGGAAATTATCGTTAAAAAATTGACATGAATGATGTCACCTTTACTTGGTCGACTGATATTATGACGTCATTATAAAATCGGTATCTGGCAGATTGTGGCATGACTATATTATGGGCAATTTCCAATTGTTGCACAATTGGTCAATCACTAAATGAAATGCACCTAATAGTATTAAATTTTAAGTACCATATTTCATATATTATCTTGTTAAATTTCAGCCTCATAGCAATTTTTTTTTACATTTTTTCCCTTCTAACTATTGCAGCTCATATATAAAAAAGTAGCTAGAAAATTGGCCAATGGTGGGACAACAATAGGCAAATCAGCCTTTCTCATAGGGGCTAATATATTCTCCTTTTTGAGCCTTTCTCACAGGGGCTAATATATCCTCCCACATCGGAGAATGTAGAGAAATTGACCATGATTATAGACATTATACACACAAGTGACACAACTAGAGTCATAAAATGTCACATGAGACTCAGGGGAATGGTAGTACCACAAAATGGCAGATAAACCGAGCATGAGAAAGGCTAATTGTTGGAGATTTTGACCTGGAAAGGCTAAAATCAGCCACATTTGAGTGAAAATTGTAGGTTTGTTTGAAATTGTGGAGGCTTTACCCTCAACCTACCAGAAAAAGAACACCACCCCCCCCCCCCATCACAGACTATATACAGTACGTACACACACATTATGCTCGTAGCTTTTGGGTTGCGTGAACAAGTGGCGATATATGTTTCTTCAGTAGGTTTCCTGGTTTTTCAATATAGGCCATAATACTGTAAACCGGTTTTGAGAAAAAACTATATTTATCGGTTTACCAATAAACTGCCCCATGGATGGATGGCGTATATGCTAACTACATAATTGATATTGGCACAATGACGTCATACCGAAACATTTCCCTATTATTCCTGCTTGTGCCTATATAATAATTATCCCCGGTTTCAAAAAAACCTGCTATTCTAAAAGAAATTCTGGCATAATGTGCGTGTCCCTACTATACAGTATGTCTTATGGATATATTTTACAGTATTTTACAATATTCTGTTTATAGTAATAGAAAAGAAGTGAATAATTGGTACTGCTATAATTTTTTCAACTGTGATTCCATAATTTCCAAAGCAATTTGGACATGATGCTTTGTGCAGATTAATGATGGTCTGAATCTGACGGAAGTAAAGCCAGAACCTCCTGTTACTAAACCTAGAAAAAAGTTTACAATTAGTGAATATAGAGCTATCCAATATACTGTGAAAACTATATTTATAGCGATAAACTTTAACTCGTATTGAGTATGGATTCTTCAACAATAGTAGGATAGAAGGGGACAAATAGGAACGTAAAAGCGCTCAAGTTCCAAATTGGGACGGTGGCCCCCTCCAAGTTTCTGTTTCCATTCTCGAGCTCTTACCACTATCTGACCAGTGACCACCCCAACTTAGGAAAGGGCCTCTCCCTGCCCCTCCATCATATAGGCCAACCCCCTCTCCATATCATACAGGCTCGCCCTCCCTCTCGTTGCACCCCCTCATGTGGAGGCTGCACCCCCTCCCCCCACTCCAACTGAGTCCCTGATTTTTTTACATAGTTCTTACCACTACTTCGTAGTTGGTTGACAAAGGAATCTCGTGCTGTTGTATCTGGTAAATCAATGGCACAGAAACCTCCCTGTCCCCTTGCAGCACTAATGTACTGAGGAAATTTCTCCTGTAAGAAACAATAGTGTATCATAGGCATTATGCTAAAATAAAACAAGTTGAACAACTGTTTAGCAGACAACAATGGTTGATTTCAACTATAGATCAAATTTTGATCTGGACAAGAAGAACGAAACCATTACCATAGCTGGAAAGAGCATCTTAGAATGAGTAAAATTGCAAAGTTTGGTTGCGAATTGTTGTAAAATGAGGAAAATATAGTCCTGTGAAGTTTGCAAATTTTGTATATGATATTTGCATTACGCGCGGGAAAAATAACCATTTTTCAGTCGAAAGTGGTTATTTTTCCCGCGCTTAATACTTAATACAATACAAAATTTGCTAACTTCACAGGGCTATATTTTCTTCATTTCACAACATTTAGCAACCAATCTTTGCAGTTTTACCCATTCCAAGACGCTCTTTCTAGCTGTGGTGTTGGAATCACGGTCAATCACCCATTGCAATTTCCATATCATATCCATATATTAGTATGAATATAGTTTGGATTTGGTGATGCAATCGCAAAATTCCATAGTATGATTGAATTTCACTATTTTTTTTCCAGTGCAAATTTCTGCACACCGCATGAACCTTTCAACAAGCTTTATGTACAGCTGACACAATCAAATTCTGAAGCTGTCCGTTAATGTTACAGGACACCCTTTTGGGCGTTTTGCGGAAAATCGCTACTGCGCGCTCAATATCAGTCCGATTTTCATCAAATTGTCACCAAATGTTCTCCAGTGCATGCAAAATATGGTAAAGTTGTAAAATTGACAAACAATATAATATAAGAATTATTCAGGAAAATCTTAAATCGCGGTACCTTTACGCTTTTGAGTTATGTTCCTGCTGGTTTTAAGATATTTTATGAAAATATAATTTTTATGTAGCAAAATAGTTGTTCTAAAAAATTATGTTCGGAAATTTTTTGTTTATTTCGTCATTCCGCTGATATGGCGATTTATTTGACGACTGCAATATATCTCTGAATCGTTTGAGTGAATTGCTCCTTATTATTAAAATATCCAAAATTAGAAAAAAGCCGAACACAATTTTGAAACTGACGTCTAGCTATGTCCTGTGAAAATTTGAAAAAAATTCGTTAAAACCCACAGGAGAACAACTCGTTTGAAAATCAGTAATTGCCGTAAAATTCTTCGGGAGAAAATTGAATTTGAATATTACATTTTCAATGTTTTTCTTATTACAGCGAAATGTATTTTATTAAATAACTCTGTGAGTTTTCAACATTTTTCGTTCAAACTTGGTCAGATAGTAAAACCAGTCGACTAATGCTTTCATGGAAACCAGTAAAAAATATTTAGGCAAAATTAACACTCAAAGGTGTTCTGTAAACCTTAACGCGAGCAACCGTCGGAAAAATTAAAATCACTCGCGGTTTTTCCTCTGAATTCTTACCTGTAATTGTTTCAAGCCATTCAGCAACACCTGTCCCGCATCTCTGACATTTTCAACTAAGTGTTCATTTTCGATTACTTTCAGAATTTCTTTGATCATCAAGAGTTTGGCAGGATCTCCATTCCACGTGCTTTGGATGCGATTTTTCTGTTTACATCGCGGAGGAAACAAAGCATGGTGAGGGATTAATTATTTTTAAGAGTTTTGTGCGGTTAGTCTGCCTATATATATATACACGTCAAAATCAAACAACAGCAAGCTTGTCAACAAGTTGTAACAATGTTGTTATTTTATCAAGTTGCTACAAGCTTGTTAACAAGTTGTAACAATGTTGTTATTTTACCAAGTTGCTACTGAAGCTTGTTAACAAGTTGTAACAATGTTATTATTTTATCAAGTCGCTACAAGCTTGGTCACAAATCAGTTGAATTGCAGGACGATAACAAGTTGTTGGAACAACCTGCAGCAAGTCTGTTGATCTCAACAACCTTCTAGCAAGTTGTCAACAAGCCGTTGACTCGAAAATTTGAGTAAAATAATGAACTGACAGTAACTACCTCTATACCTCGTAAGGGGTGTAACCGTCATTATAGTAAAATCCTCCAATTTGCATTTTCTTTGCGAATGTGACGTAATCAGGTGGTTGATCTAAGTTCCAGCTTTCATGCGCCCTGAAAAATGACAAAATAATATTTGCGACAAAGTGTTCACCAAACTGACACATCAATACCACAGCATTTAAGGTAGCCTTAGAGGAGTGTTCCAAGGCCGGATTTTGGTGGAAATAGTGGGAAAGGTGGAAAAATTTAGGGGAGGTGCAACGGTCTAGCTCAGGACCCCCATGGAAAGTTAGGGCTTAGAGCGGGCCAAAATCAACAACGTGATGTATGCATGTAGGGTACATATATGTATCAGTGTATTAATGAACTATGACTGTACAACTCCTCCAATTTTGCCCTACAAAGTTTCTTTCAAAACATTGCATTAAAAGGTTACTTGACACAGAGATGAATGGCTATCACTGTTTCAATTTTACAGAAAAACTTTCTTACGAAGTGTAGACCCCCTAAGCGACCAAAAAATGTCAAATTTTCACTCTGATCTATCATTGAAACTGTCCCAAGGGGAGGTGCAAAACGATCTCAGGGGAGCGCAAATGATCATGACCTTGATTTAAAGAATAATTCTATGGGTTAATGAACTGATAACTTGGTAAGCGATACGGTCCGTTAGAAAAAAAACTGGAATTAGCTGGGGAAAATGGTATGAAAACTGTTTACAACCATCCTAGACTTTGGACGTCAATTTCTACCATGTTATTGGCTTCACTTTTCACATAGGACTGCAAGTTCTTATATCCTCACTGGAATTTACTTACCAAAAGGTTCCTGTGGAAATAACGCCAGTTTGAACTTCGTCGACAATAAAGTAGGCATCATTCTAGGAGCAAATTCTAGACTAAGATGCTTTGATAATATTAGATTTCGAATATTTGCTTAAAGTGCATATGACATGAATTTTTCCATTTTCTTAAATGAAAGAACTCTTTAAGCTGTAGTGTAACTTATTTTTCAGTTTCTTGTTTTTATGGTATGTTTTTATGGTATATTTCAATTTGTTTGGTATGTAAATGGTTGAATATCACGGCTATCATCCAAGATAATCATTTCTAACTTCACTCACTGGTAAATGTGGTAAAATACTGGAGAAAAACGTGAACTGATATCTAAGTTTTTAGAGTTAATAGATTTATAACCAGTATAAGTTGAGCTTGCAGCCAACGTGACGTCATAAATTAGCGGACATATTCACACTCATTTACATACCAAACAAATTGAAATATCTCGGGAACAAACCATGAAAACAAGAAACTGAAAAATAAGTTACACTACAGCTTTAAGAGTTCTTTCATTTAAGAAAATAAAAAAATTCATGTCATATGCACTTCAAAGTGTGACTAACCCAAATATAATTTTTTGTATGTGTAATATTTGGGTCATTCTAAGAAGAAATGTAATGTATCTTTATAGTAAAAAACCTCAGCTTTTTAACTTTTTCGCTGTCAAAGGTTACAGATACGATGTCATTAGGTGAATTTTTGGTACAAAAAACAAAGGAAAACTAATTTGCAATTCACCTAATGACATCATATCCGAAAACTTTGAGAGTGAAAAAGTTGATCAAGATTGGACATGACTTATCGCTTACAATATTTACAAAAAATTCCTGTATTTTTATTGTTACTTACTTTTGCAACAATATTGCGTAGTTTATTGAAGAAATCTGGAGATGCATGACAATCACCTTTGAAATAAGACATAAAAGATTGTAGGTTTTCAATTTTTATGCACCAGACTACAACCAGGCTACAACTTAGCATTCCAGGGGACGGTTATACGAATGCCATTTTCGCAATCGCAAAGCTGTGTATATCTCTATTCTGTGCGTCAAACGTAATCAAGCAGGGGAGGCCAGGGCAAAGAGCCCTGCCATTGGTTATTTTAACTACACTTTTCTATACGCAGAACTGAAGCATGACTTCTTACCTCCCTCTGCAAGTATGGGTTCTATTATCACAGCAGCTATTGGTTTCTGTTTTTTCTGTTCATGGAATATCTCTTCCGCCTTAAAAATGAACAATTAAGATTTAGAAAAGACGAAGCTAAGCGATCAACTTGCACCATATAGCCATTACTAGAGTGTATCCCAATCTACCACCTGTAAACCATCCAAAGCAGCTGGCTAATATATTGGACATGCAATGGTCCTCATATTTCGTCCAATAAATATTTCGAACTCAGTGGTAAAAAATACACAGACGAATTATTATATAAACTTGAAAATCCTGGAAAGTCCTTGAATTGGAAAACAAAATTTCCAGGACTGGAAAGTCCTCGAAAATCAGTAGAAGTCCTTGAAAGTCCTGGAATTAATTCCTTAACCTCCAGCTGTGCCAACATTGGTGATTTTGATTAAAATTACTGAATAAAGTGAATTATTTGCTGGTTAAAGTCTAAAATCCGTGCCATTTTCAAAGATTATTCCCAGTTCTATGTCCTTGAATTTACTGAAAAAGGGCCTTGAAAGTCCTGGAAAAGTCCTTGAATTTCATCCTCACCAAAAGGGTGGACACCCTGTACCAACGTTTTCTCGGACTTACCATGGCAAGACATCTTGTTTCCTCGGCCTCGTTTTCACGTTGGTGTTCATGTAACGGGTATTTAAGTTCTGGAAAATCTGCTTTCGGCCAATCAAATGTAGGGATATCCAACTTTTGCATTGGGTGGGAATACGTCACCGATAGTGTTCCTAGAATTGATGGACACACACAGAAATTTAGACACACGAGACGAGAATTGATGGACACACACAGATTTTTTGCAACTGCCCCCGGTCAGGTCTAAAAAAGTTTTATATATGCTCGTTACTTCTATCAGTTCTGAACTGTTCCCTCTAGAGGTGCAGTTAGTTCATACTGAATAACTCTATATTTCCAGGGCCGTAGCAAAGAGGTTACTTCTATCAGTTCTGAACTGTTCCCTCTAGAGGTGCAGTTAGTTCATACTGAATAGCTCTATATTTCCAGGGCCGTAGCAAAGAGGCTAAGGTTGGGGGATGTAGTATCGTATTTGCCGACAACATTTCAGTCCCTATAATGGGTGCTTCCAGCTATGGACGAAATTTTTATCTTTTCATTTCCAGACATACCATTTTTTACTAACTTTCAAATTAATGCACCGTAATTTGTTAAAGTGTTTATGAAACGGCTGAAAATTTTTTCTGAAATTGTGCTGATTTTATAGTTTAAAGTACGCTGAATATCATGCCGTATTTTATTTTCGCCCCGCGATTCTTTAAAGTCGATTTTTTAAGCTACAAAGTTCAGCAATTCGGCTATTTTTTGTCCCGGGGTCTGGACCCGAGTGAAAACAGCGCGTGACGTCACTGGTTGTACACACATGTTGACATTCTCAATATAAACAGTAAAGAACATTTGTATTATCGCGCTGTATAAAATATTTTATCGTGATTTCTACTCTTTTACTATGTCGCACAGCGAAGATTCTCTTAGTTACTCTAGCTTAGAGTCTGATAACATAACGGAGAGCAATTTAGAAGGAAATATGAACGTAACGAATTGTTTTGAGCCGTATCAAGGGGAACTATTGCCAGTACAGACGACAGCGAATCTTCTGATGAGGAACAGGACGAAGATTACATTTTGCCATCTGTTCTGGAGAAGCGTTTAGTCCATTAGCAAATTGGTGAGTTCTACAAACAATACTAAGTTACTTTATTATGATTTCCATGCAATATTTCCCTGATATTTGCCTTATTATTTATTTCTGTTGTAGGTGTTCGTGTGGGAATTGTGCCGATCAAAATCTGGCGAGTGTTCAGAGTACTGTTGCTGCAAAGAGATTGTGGAAGTAACTGGAAAATTTAATTGGATTGGCAAGAATGTTGAATACATCCTTAATCATTCTGACTTCAATGCTATGACAAAAGAGAAGTGAAGTTGGGCCTCTTCTAAAAAACAAACATGGAACTGATGGAAGCTCCCATGGAATAAAAAATGGCGCAGATAAAAGGTACATATACTTCGGTTGTGTGTATTAATTCTGACTAGTAGCGAAAGTAAAACAACTTTTCAGGTTCTATAAAGATAAATTTGTATTGTTATAGATTCGGAATCCTCAGAGCAGTGTCATATCGTCGGCTGTTTGGCTTGATGGGCTGGGAGAACACCAGCCCCCGTCACCATGCATTTACCATCATATAATGACTGCATGTATTTTGTACTGGTGATGCTGGTATATATCTGGAGAAGAGCAAGCGGATAATGATAACTGAAGTTACTATTATGTAAATATTTCATAACATAAAACCCAAAGAAAAGTATTATCACCAAATCTTTAATGTGTATTAATGTTTTACATATTTAAAAATCCAGGTCAAGTCTGTCAAAAACAGATCAAGTCTGTGGAGCATCGTGTGGACAATGTGATTGCAGGTGACCTTCATTGGTGCCTGTAATGATATACTTCCGGTTTGAGACCCCCCATGGGGCCCCGTGTTGTTGTTGTACTTATCTTGTAAGAATACAAAGCTCGAAGACTATTACATGGTGTCAGGAGTGCGATTTTTACTGAATATCGACCGTATAAGCTACAGTCATGGCTCTTAGCGGTATTGAACTTCCTGTGATGCAATGGGACGGCGAAAATCTCAAGGAAAATTGGCGACGTTTTAAACAACATGTCGAATTAATGTTCTCTGGACCGCTGAGATCAAAAAACGAAGCGGAGAAATGCAGCTACCTACTCATCTGGGTAGGGCAAAAAGGCAGGGATATATACAACACATGGTCGGATATCTCAGAAACAAACAGAGGTAAATTAAAAACATATTATGATCGATTCGAAAAGCATGTCAATCCGAAAGCAAACCCCGTCTTTGCCAGATATAAGTTTCATAACAAAATACAAGGCCCCACCGAGCCAGTAGAGGAATTCACAACAGAGTTACAACTCCTAGCCCAAGATTGTGAGTTCCACGACCAAAATGAAATGGTTAGAGACCGAATTGTGTTTGGGACAAATTCAAACAAAGTGAGGGAAAAACTTATAATGGAAGGGGCAGAACTCACGCTAGAAAAAGCTATACAAATCGCAAGAACCTATGAAAAAACCCAAGCCCAACTCAAAAGCATGTCTCCTGAAAACAAGGAAGAAAGCATTCACTTAGTCAGACAGCAAAACCAAGGCAGTCAATCTCAAAGATCGAGACAATCACTTGACCAAAAGTACCCCCAGCAATCACTTGAACAAAAGTACCCCCAGCAAATAAGCCAGTGTGGGAACTGTGGGAGAAAACACTACAGATCAGAGAAATGTCCAGCAAAAGGGCAAACCTGTTACCTATGCAACAAGCCCAACCATTTTGCACAAGTATGTCGATCAAAAGGGAGGCGGAGCCAAATACACCCTATCGAGAAGGTAGAATGTGACCCCTCAATGACCCAATTTGAAACTCTAACTTTTGAATCAATCACTGTAGCTAATGTTAACCACCAAAATTTGAAGGCAGACGAAGTGTTTGCAGAGGTGGGCATCCACCTAAATCCAAAGCCCAAAGCAACAGTCAAGGCTTCCCTACAAACACACGCAAAGGCATCACTGAAAGCCAAAGTCGATACTGGTGCCCAAGGGAATATACTCCCCCTAAGATTATACCGGGCTATGTACCCCTGCAAAATTGATCTGAAGGGCAACCCCAAGAAAGGAGCTACAAAACATTCTAATACTATCCTCACAGCATATGGGGGATCCAAGTTACACCACCATGGCACCGTCACCATTGATTGCGAATTCAAAGGCAAAAGATCTGCTGCACAGTTCTATGTCACAGACACACAAGGCCCTGCTATCATTGGCCTACCAACGTTGATTGACCTCAACCTTGTGAAATTCAATTGTGCCATACTCAAACAAGTGTTACACAGCAACACACTATGGCCCACCACAAGAACCCCTGAGCAACCACCACTAACCACCAGAACCCCCGAACGACCACCAATACCCAAACCAATAAAGAGCAAAGAAGATTTGATAGATCAATACCCAAACTGTTTTAATGGCATAGGAAAATTCGAAGGAGAATACCACATAACCACCGACCCATCAGTCCCACCTGTTATCCACCCTCCGCGACGAGTTCCAATCAGTCTGAAAGATGACATTAAGAAAGAACTAGACGAGATGGTTGCAAATGGTATCATAACTAAAATAAACGAAGGAGAGCCCACAAGATGGGTAAACAGTCTCGTCTACAAGAGGAAACAGAATGGACGATTGCGTTTATGCCTAGACCCCAAAGACCTAAACACAGCTATCTTAAGAGAACATCACGCCATTCCTACCTTGGAAGAAATTTTACCAAAATTACACAAAGCAAAGTT